CTAATCGACTGATCAAAAATTCGCGAAAACTGAAGGAACGCTAACAAGCCAAACTAAATTTCAAGTGCATTCCAAACATTTCAAACAACTCACAAACGGTCAAGCACCTCAACAAAATTTCAGTCAATCGATCACAATTTTTTCCAATATCAAGTCGAAAGTAAATACTCTGAGTAGGAAAACAAACTTTGTAACCTTAACACAAATACTAACAAACAGAGGAAGATGCGGAACAAAGGATTAGAAGGAGGATTCATTGCGGAAAAAGTAAGCAACAACAATCGAAGCAGGACCAGTCAACGCAACGAAAAAGGCAAGGAGAGTCCGATCGGGAAGAGAGCCTTTCCGATCCGCGCTGGCATAGACGAAGGACAATCATAAAGCACGTCAATCAAGCCATGTGGAATCGAGTAAAGAACCAAGTATGAAAACAAAAAACGACAAAGGAAATTTCATCTCCAAAACAACGGATCACGCTAAGCTGTCATCTTCCACCCAAGCAGAGTCAAAAACACAAGAAAAACATAGACAAACAGAACTATCAATCGAGACAAGAGAAATATAAGAGTACTGCGTGAGCTGCGTGGACCCAACCACAGCCAGACAAGAGGAAACCCATCCAAACGTGGAAACACCCACAATGACATCAACGCACGCGTGGGAACAACAACAACAACTCCAACTGAAAGTCAGTCACGAAATGGTAACAGAGGGGTTGGTAGCTACAGTCCACAAGGAATCCAACACAGAAATCGAGGAGGACACCCCACTTTAGAGAAAAAACCTGGAGTGCTGGAGAATCAATTTCATTGCCGGCGCAGCACGAAAAGACCGGAACATGCGCTCACTGCTCAACTTCGTGAAAAAACGAGACTGAGAAGCCCTCAAGCTGTCTTTTGGTCAGTACTCGTACAATATACGAAACCGCCTACACGTGCGAGAGGATTGCCTGCTCATCGAGAAGCGGATTGTCCTCCCTACTAAACTCCGACAGACAGTGCTCGATAGTGTTCATCTCACTCACCCCTGATCGGCGGCCCTGCTAGATTTCTGCCAACACATCTGGTTCTCCCCTATCCACCGTCAATGGGGCTAATGGCACAAGGATAACGGCAATGTACCGAACAAGGTAAAAACTTGAAACCAATAATAGGCAAACAAAACTCATTCCAAATGGAACGTGTTGTCGAACCTGGCGAAGAGTTACAATTAGATTTTGCAGGACCCCTCCCGGGTGATTTAAATAAAGACGCATATATACTAGTTGCTATGGATAAGTGGTCAAAATTGCCAACGGCTAAGGTAGTTTCGAACACGGCGGCAGACGTCGCATTGAAATTTATGCAACGCTATATATCAAATAACGGAGTACCACGCAAATTAAGATGCGACGAAGCACAAACATTCTGAGCCAGAAAAATTTCAATTTTTTTGCAAATCAAATAATTTAAAACTCTTTTTTGCAACAGTAGATAATTACAGATTAATAGGGGTAGTAGAAAGGTTGATACAAAACAATTCAACGGCGCCTCGGAGTAATAAGAATTGACGAGAACAATTTCCCGTTCAAATTTACCTCGGATGTCGCGGAAATTATCAAAAAACTACGCATAACTCCACACGGAATAACAAAAATAACACCATTTGAAGCCCAAATGGGTAGAAAGGCCAATACGCCACTTGCCAATATAGAAACAAGTAGTTCACCTAATAAATTAGGCTTGGAAAACGCCAAACACGCCTGATTAGACCGCAAGAACTTGATTAATGCACACCTGATTAGACCAGCGGAATTAATGCACACTTCATATGTGGTTAGAAAATGAGTCTGCAATCCCGGAGTCTGCAATCCACAGCCACAAAACACAATGTGAAAACCACAGGCGATGAGAAAGAGAAATTTAAAGTAAGATACAATGGCAGGTAGAACCAAATATCACAAAACGAATAGAACAAGTAGCGAGGAAAACAGTTAAGTTGGCACCAAAAACGAAAGGCCCAAAAACTATTGAACAAAAAATACAAAAATATCGATGGCATAAGCTTGACATATACACCACACACAGCGTAAGTACAAATAAAAGGAAAACAACCAAGACTACTAAGAAACAGCGGCTTTGCATTCGTTCCTAACCCTTCAACCTAGGGTCCGTGCCGGCAAGAAAGCTCATTCAAACGAAAGGCAAAACCTACCGGAAATTGAATAAAGAGAAAACCACAACGGACACCAACAATGGGAATGAAGTTCCATACGGAGTTGTCAAACAGTGGCAACCCCAAAAAAAAACAATCGGAGAGCAAAATATCAACCTCGTTGGGTGACACGGAGTCATTGAATTCAGAAAACACCGCTTCCTATCCAAAACGGATCAACAAGAAGAAAACAACTGAAGCTGCAAAACTCTTGACATCAACGAGAAAATCGGGTCGAGCCCGACAATCAGCACTAGCCGGCGCACTGGGGAATCCGGTCCCCCCAATTAATGCAATGGGAAACGTAACCCAATCACCGGCAAAACACTTTTCTATCGAGTCGCCTACTAACAAAATTCCAGAAAAAAATATGGCCATGAATTAACTCCCGCAACTCCCGAACCAGAACCCAGCCTGAAAATCGTCATCTCCGAGATAGGATTTCATGAGAAATCGCCGGAATACAAAGCCTGCGTTAAATTTCTGGAGCCCATAAAGCAAAAAGGGAAGAAAGAATAGCAACAAGCAAAGGAAATAATCGATTTGGTATCCCCTTCAGACAATTCACAGAAAACACGAAACAATGAAGTCCTCGTGGTTGCAAACGTAAACAACAAAAACATCGAGAAAACAGAAACAGACAACAAAAGAGACGACTCAAAGGAGTACCAAGAAAAACTTTAAAAGGAAGATCCAGACGATGAGGAAATTCAACAGGAGATGGAAAAAGAAAAAGAAACAGCATAAGAAGTTATAAAGTCCGATGAGGTCTCAAAACTCAACATTGTCTTACTGGGATTAAGAACTCCGGTCCTACAGTGACCTAAAACACAAATCAGTGAAAAATTAGTTTTTTTTCTCCTGGGGGAATGTCATCCGGCCGGCTTGGCAAAATTAGATATGTAATTGTATTTGTTTATAGCTCCCTACGTTGAGCAGGTCACTTGACCTCGTATGATAAAATCATGTTATGTTGGTTAGAACTTTTTTAAAGACTTTCAGAACTAGTTGTTTTCTTTGAGTTCTCAAGTTAACCTTATTTGTTGTCTACCAGTCCGTCGGATTCGATACTGATAGATATCATAAATTACGGTATAACACGGCCATTGGAGTAGGACTTCAGTTTATGTTACCGAAAACTGGGTTTTGCTTTACCAGCAAGGAACTTTAAAGAGTCCACGGAATGGAGACTAGCCCAAAACATCAATTTTTGGTGAAATTTTACTGCTGTTATTGGTTGTTTAATGCCAAATTTCGACCGGGTTTCTATGCGAGCATAAATCAATAATTTACCTATCAAACTATATCTTTCCAATTTTAAGAAAAATTCAGTTTTTTTTTAGTGTTATAAGACTCAATACCTTTTCTTGGATAGGTTCCAGATTGTCACGAATCAATATACGGGTTTCTAGGTTCAAGTGAGGCTGTTTTTTGAATCAAACTTTCCGTTGCTGCTCTGTCTCCAGGGGGCGACTTTCCAAAATTTTGTCGACCTTTTTTTAGGTCGACCAAATTGATTTTTCCAGCTCCCCCAAAGCACTAAAAAGTCCGTTTTGGTTTAATTTTTTGCTACGCAGGCAAAATTTTTTTTTTAAATGGCCAAAAAAGGCGTTTGGTCAATCACTTTTTGGAAAGTTTTGACCAAAATATCGCAATTTTTTGGTGCGCGCTGCCCCTCAAAAAGTCGTTTTTAGAAAAATTTTAGGTTTAGTCGCCCAAAAATGGATATCTCAAAATAGTACAAAGGGCGGACCCTTCGGTTCGACAGGGGGTCGAATCCCTGAGGGAAGGCGTCCCCCGCCCTAAATCCGCCCTTGTCTGTATCCCGCCTCCTTTCTTCTTTGCAGGCTTCCTTTGCAGGTATGTTATGCACTGTTTGCTGACTCAATTGTGTGAATTTTGTTTTAAAGCGTGTCAGTTATCAAATATCTAAATCCGTAATTGCAATATTTGTTGAACGAGTAAAACAGAGTTGAGTTGCAAAAAATATACCGCAGGAAATCTTTACTTACAAATTACAAGGCAGTCTCCTTCCGAACTGAGCCACCTGGCCTAGCTGTGTGTGTGTGTGTGTGTGTGAAATCTTTCACTTATCATATACAGAGGTGAACTGGAGCTTCGCACCACTTGCGATATCGCGCAAACATAGCATTTCAACCTAACAGCCAGAAAATCAAACAAGTTATTTAGTCGAAAAAAATTGAAATTTCAAAAAAATCAAATGCAAAACATGTTTTGGCTGCAATGATGTTAAATTTGAGGGAAAAAACTTCTACGATTTTCTTTAGTCGTCCTACACATACCAAAGTGATCACATTTTAAAATAGTTGAAAAAGTTTTTTTTTTTTTTTCGTTTTTGAAAAATTTTCTTGAAAAATAATGGTTGGTCGAGACTTTCCGTTAAGTTGGCTAGCATCTCTCAATTCGTGTTCAATTTGCATAAACAATAATTATTTTTATTGAATTTTTCAAAGCTGAAACTACGGTAGATCTAAGCGGTAAATCCATAACAATGAAAAACTCAAAAATTCCACAATTGTTAGCTTATGAACTTTAGTTTTTGTAGCATACGGCCATTTTTGAGCCGATTTTTTGAACGATGCTTAATTATTTTGCGGAACGATAATTCCAAATGAATACTGATTGTTCCACACTTTCAAAACTTGAAAAAAAAAGATTACAATGAAATTTATAAAATTCAACCCACAAAATGAAACAAATGTAGCAAAATTGAGCTTGTTAACATTTCAACTATTCCAAAGCTGCTTCCATATAATTTACATTTAACACTTGACAATTCATGGGAATTAGGGTTTTGTTAAGAGTTCTATTTTTCTTATGGTATAAAGCTACAGCTAATCACATTAGCACAACAATGCAAATCCAACTTTTAAAAACCAAAAGGCCGGCCAATCCCAGCTCTGCTGGGCACAATTAACTGGACGGCAGGTGAATCAAAAAAAGTACTGAGAACACAAACATATACAACACAATGCACACAAGTCAACCAAATCAAATGAATCAATTCAAATCTACACTAATTAGTAGCATCTTTTAAAGGAGAAGTTTATGCTAGTCTCAACATTTGAAGTTTTAGAATGACGTATGAGATTATGATTCTAATCAAGTTTCGAACAGTCTAAACAGGTGTGTTCCTGAAAGCAGCGATATGAGGAGAATTCTGTAAAGGTGAAATTTTGAGGGGAGTTCGCGGCATTGAGGGGGGAGAAAGATGTCTTTGGTTTCTGATGATCGGCTGGTGATGATGGTTTGTCTGGTGTCTATTGACATCATAGGAATCTCGCTTGTCAACCAAATTCACACCAGGGAGTCGATTCTAAAAGCAAAAAATATGATTTACCATCGCAGATTAAATTTAATTTTTTTCGAAACGAAAGAATCGTTGGACCCAGATTGACTGTAATTAACTTTTATGAAAAATTGCAATTTAACTAATGCCATTTAGCCTTATTATTTCTTATCTACAATTCCCCTTCGACAGAATATTGCAACTCTAAAATTATTGAACGATTATATAGGATAGATATTGGATAGAGATATTAATTCATCAAACCGCTATCTCGTCCTGTGAAATTAAACGCGAAACCAGTATATAAATCAATTTTCGAAGCACAATTTAATTTAAATTTTAATTTGTCTTGGATATTTAGGAACTCACTCTAAATGCACTTGTAATTGCGGTATGGGCTGATTTGCTTCTGTGTTTCCCACTGCTACCATTTCCAATGGCGTTGGGAGTTGTTGATCTCTTGTGTTTCGATTGTTTATCTTTGATTACATTGGACTCCGCTGGCTGACCAATGTCTTTGGCCCCTCCGCTTTTCATGAAAGCTCTGAAGCGTCCACGCTTCTCGTTTTCCTGAAGCAAATAGATAAAGATTAGATTGTTGAACTAAACACAAAAGACATAGGGAAGACAATTCCTCTGATGTTCTTGATTCGGACATCGGTATCAAAGGTGTTGTCATTCTATTTAAATTTTCTAGGTGAAACAAGCATTACTTGCTTTTATTATTACCCATTTTATCTAGCTAATCAAACAAGTATGAATGATTGTGCTAAAGCAACAAAAAATCGTTGGTCTTTACAGCCTAACATGATACGATTTCGAGTATTTGGAAAAAATGGTTCTGCCTATGATAGAAATACACATAGTTCCGCCTATGATAGAAACATACTTCGAGCTATTTCACCCGATTGTCCTTAAAGAAACCTCCACGACTTCTGACAATTGTATAAGAACTAATCATAATTACGTTAGAGCCTGAACCATAGTTGATGAGTTGGGATGCATTCTGTCTGGCGTAGAGGTAGTTGGACACCTGTTCTCTTAGATCTCCAGGCACCTGCAGAGCCACACGCCAATGTCTGATCATAAAGGTCACGGCATAGCAAGTCAGAGTCCAATTCTCAACACAGGTCACATTGAGGTTCACAGAGGCAGATGAGTTTACGGGACACTTGCCTTGAGCAGCCATCGAGGCCTAGAAAAAATATACAAATCAGTTTATGCACAAAAACTAATTAACAAGAAACTAACGTCTAAAACGCTCACCCTTAAAAGATCAAACATATGAACTAAAAGACCAAAACACTTGCATTCGCAAAACGAATTAAAAAAACATCATTATGAAACTGTTTTCATTAATTTGATAGTTCATTTGGTTTAAAAAAACGTTTCAATACGCCTTATAAAATAAGTTTTTTCCCCACTGAATGAGCAAACGTTCGTTTCAGGCCAAAACATGCCGACGGAGGTCGTTTATATAGATATTGATGGTATCATATTAGACTTCCGAAACCTTTCACTAACCGGTGTGGGATTAGAAGCGAAGAAATGTGGTGCAAATATGGTGGCCAAGTTGGACGCCGACATCCTAGTGATATTCTTATTCTTGGCCACTTGATACAACATAGACAATACAATCTTCAGAATGGCTCTCTGATTGGCGGACAGCATGCAGAACACAATCTGCAGAGCCTCAATGTGTTCTTTCTTCTTCTGTTCAAACTGCGAAAGAGTTTCTAAGTTTCCCAACAATTGTTCCATGTTTTGCACACTTCGACCGTTTCCACTCATAGCGTCATCAGGCGGCGAATTTTTTGTCATTTTCGAGTTCAAGTCTTCAAGTGACGAAACCAACTTTTTGCTGTTCTCTTTCACTATGCTTCTCTCGTGGTCCAGGAAATGAGTGACATTAGCGATCAGCAGATGAGTTAAATGGGTCGACACTGGGATGAGGTCTATATTTGACAGGTAATGCTTGAGGACACTGGCAATGTCGTGTTGGGTGAAGTATCCGGTGGCTAGAAGATTAGAGAGCTCGCCAGTTCGGATGCCCTCTTTCAGTTTCTCAACTCGTATCAAGTTGCCTGGGACTCTGAACAAGCCTTCGAAGTCAAGATCTAGAACATATCCAACAATTTCATCAATTGCGACTAAGCTATTGATTTCTACAGCTTACATTCTAAAAACCATTCATTGCCACTTTAAAATTTATTTCTTCAGCTAAAAAAAATCGATAAAGATGCACGTATTTTGGATTTATAGCATTGCACTTCTACAAGTCCCAACTTCTATTATCCATATTGTTTTTTTTTACTTTTTAAAAATAGAAGTTATTCGTTCAAAAATACTTACTCTGTAAGAGGTGGTCCGACAATATCTTCACTACTGAAATGTCCAAAACTGTCACGTCACATCCACTATTCTGATTTTTACCGCCCCATGTGAACAAAGCCGATTTCGCCTTGTCCGCCAAAGAGCTCGACGGCTTACTTCCCATATTGTTACTGGGTGAATTTGCAGCTGAATTTCTGAACTGTTTTTGATTGCCAAGGCTGTTTGCTGACGTCACTGGTTGGAACGTGATCAAAGCTTTTAGAGCTTCCGGCGACAGTTCAACTAATCTGTTCAGTTGGTGTGCACAAAGTTGGAACAAAATCGACTTTTCTTGACTGTTCAAAAGGTAAATCAATTCAACTGAAGTGTCGTCATCGTAACTGTATTCTGAGGTGCTCCCCTTTCTCGGGTTATGATTCTGGGGTTGTTCTCTGTCCTCGTTTGACGAATATGAATTTGATGACGGAGACGAGTCGTGTTCGGATCTGACAGTCACTTCGCATTGGTTGATCCTATCAGTCGTTGAGTATGTCGTATGTGGTGTCGTGGTGGCTGCCCAGTTGTCTAATGCTCCTGTTTCACAGGGTGATGCCATTTTTGATGGGTTGAAGAGTCGGTTTTGTCCAGTCCTAATGTCTACAGGCGAAGTCTTTGTCTTCGACAAGTCCTTCTGAAAAATAAACTCGTTTAACTAATTTACGAAACTCATGCGACGAAACTACTGTCCTATTTTGAACTCAGAGTCCTTCCACGAACTGACATTGCCAATTTAAAAAGGTGTTAAAAGATATTACCTTGCTGTGTCTTCGAAGACGCTTTTCACTGAAGATGTACTTGGAACTCATTTCTAAGACTCTTTTCGTACCAAACTTTTATTTTTGACTGGTAATTCGAATTGTAAGGTGCAAATGGTGATATGATTTATAAAACACTGCACAATAGGGACTATCAATGATAAGGATGGCGCAAGCAAAACGCTTCTCGTTTTCGATATGTTTGATTCGCAACTAAAAATCACTTGCCGAGTAAGAAAGTCAACAAAATTAAAGATTGCTAATTTCTGCTTATTAATGGCTAGAATTCTTAATAGTGCAAAAACAAAATGAAAAGATCCGATGATTTGTAATGCCTCAAGATTCTTTAAACTTGTTTATTCTTGTTGTTTAAAGATCGATTTAGACAACACGTATTGATTTAAAAGCCAAAGAAAATTTAATGTGAATTTTTAATTATAACAAGGAGGTATATATGCTTTTACTTATTCAGCACGAAGCAGTAGTACATGGGACTCCTCAAAACGGACAAATTAAAAACCCATAAGGCAAAAAGTCCTCGACCTTACGTGATTATACCTTTGGAATGTAAGTTTCAACAATGCTTCACACCAATTATGGCAATTAGGAAATCACTGAAATGGACAAATAGCTTCTGTCCAATGCCATTAGCAACTAGTAACTAAGTTTTGACTGGTTATAATAATTTAAATTCATTCAACAAATGCCTATAAATGTCAAGCCCGAGGCACTAAAACCATCAAGCGATTATCCTTGATCGGCCAGTGTGTGTGTGTTTTGAACTAATTGTATAATCCCAGTCTTAGACTTGTCACCACATTGTTTATTCGATCCAACCACTTTTACCCAAATCCTGCCCCTTTTATTTTGACCAGATAACACCAAGGCGACAACTGGACACTAAGAGCCAGCGATGCGCAATCCGGTTAGAACTTAAAAGAGCGCCTCAAAATAAAAGATCACACTCTAGAATCGGTTATTACAACTGTGCTTTGAACACGGCAGATTAATAAATGGTGCGGCTGTATTAACAGGACACCATAATCTATTGCGGAACTACTCTAACAACAGTTGTGACTAGTTAAAAAGTTATATTTGAGAGAGACATATGCCAAGGAATACACCTGTTGCAAAAATTCTTGGAGCATACAAACTAAATTTTATTTCACGCTCATTGAACTTCTAGCAGTGCTAATAACGCATTTAACTTATTTTATTTCACGCTCATTGAACTTCTAGCAGTGCTAATAACTTATCCAGGTATCAAAATTAACAGACACAGATGATAAAAACTGCTATTATAAATTAACGAAATGTAGCCACCTGTTGGTGTATACTTCCCCTATTTTGCAGTATTTCGTAACCTGTTTAACTCGTTCTCAGCCACCCTTTCACCTTTTGTTAAATATTTTTTTGCTCTTAAAATTTTTCTGATCTTTTCCACTTGTTGGACGATTATGATAAAATAACAGCTGGCATTTTGCAATTCGGCACGTAGACTCCGATAGATCAGATAATTAATGCACCAATTAATGGCTCCGGTGAAAATAAAGCATGGCCTTTGATCATGATTACTTCCAACGAAAATCGAATTCAGTTCAAAACAGGTTCTGTTCCATAATTTTAATTATTACCTGTATGATAAGCCTTTCGTATCTATACAAGAAAACTCATAAGCAAAAAAGAAAATCAACGAGAGTTCAAGACTTAATAGCGCCAGTTGACGAAAAAATCCACAAAAGATCCTTTCTCGCAATTCATGGCCTGTCAATGGACGCTGCCAATTTTTGTCACTAAATAACAAAAATTTCTATTTCTTTCCCCCAACTACTGCATTCTTCTTTTTAGTAACTTTTCCCCCGCTACCCGTTTTTCCGAATGGCTTTTTCTTCATTCCTTTTTTCAATTGCGCAATTGGAACTCTATTAGCGTGACTTCTCGCACCGTCTTTCTTTTTCTTGGCTGTTTTTGAAAGTGGTTTTCTGCCCAAAATTTCCTCGTCTTTTTTAGCCGCATCTTTTCTGTTAACAAACGCTTTAGCCGCAGTCGCTTTATCAACAGAGTCTCTCTTATTTTGCAGATTTTCAAACACTTTCAACATTGCATCTCGCTCGTTTTTAGCCCTGTCTTTTGATAGCTCTGCTGTTGTTTGTTTATTTTTCTCCTTAATTTGTAACATTTGCTTTCCTCTCCCTTTTCTAGGATCGTTTTTCAGGGTCTCTGTGAATCTCCCAAGTGACGCTGTACTTGTCGTTGCAACATCAAGTGCTTTTCTAGATTCGGATTTGAGTGGAATATAGTGATTATTCATTGTCGGCGTCGGCAAAATTCCTCCGTCGCCTGCACCTGAATGCTTCTTCCATTTCGAAATATTTCTTAACCTGTTCAACTCGTTCTTTGCCACCCTTTCACCTTTTGTCAAATACTTCTTGCTGTTAAAATTTTTCTGATCTTTTCCAGTTGGTCGATTTTCATTTTCTTCTTGCTCCATTTCTCGTTTCAAATTGGCCGCATAATCCTTCTGTTGTTTTTCACCTGTTTGTTTTCTATAACCCCAGCTAAACTTCCAAGTTTTTGTTTCTGGATCCCAAACTTTCGAGTTCCTTTCTTTCTTTTGAATGCCCTTCTTTTTCGCAAACTCTTCCCACTTTGTCGGAGGCCTGGATTTGGGCACTGGTTTTTCTCTCGGAATCGGAAACGTCGGCGCGGGAAGCAGAGCTACAACTGAGTCATAATCGACTTTAGTCGGACATTGCCAAAGTTTATTAACAATAACTTGAGTACAATCACGAGCGACCGACTTCAACAAATCATTTCGCTTCGATTCGCTGTAAGTTGCAATTTTAACAGGAAGTGAGTTGTGGTCGAGTGCTAATAAGTTACCAATGTCAACTTCGATCTCAATTGGTGTGTTAACTTCAGTGCTCAGGTTACTCGTGTTAGTTCCAACCACATCTTCAAGTCGCATAACATCGCTACTCATACTCGAAACCTGTAAAACATTAAAGATGTGTAACATTCACATTTCGCACAAATGACATGTTTTATAAATATTTCAAAAAATTATGTCAAACAACAAGATTCAAGAACGTGTTGACCAATTTTTGTTTTAATTTACAAAAACCAGAAAACGAAATTCAGAAATCAGAAGTTGAACTTAAAATCGCTATGAAGGTTCACTTGACAAACACACTTTTATGTCTTTTCTACAAAAACATTATAATTTAGTAAACGTTAACCAATTTTGATCTGCACATGTGTATTCAAGAGAAAACTATTTTAAAAAAATGATGATCGAGATCGGACGTCTTTTAAAAGAATTATGTACTCACTTCCGATCTCGACAATCATCGATGTTTTTTGATCGTTTTCTCTTAGAGAGAAAAATGCTGATCAAAATTGGTCAAAAAAGTAGATTCGAAAAGCTTTCGGGTTGAAAGTGAAGAAATTCCGCAAATTAGCTTTTCCTAAATCAACCATCGTCGGCGATAAAATCTTTCGGAAAGTAATCTGCCGCGCGACATCTAGACTAACAACTCATGGTTGCATTAAGGAGGCGATGACGAAATTTCCGACAGAAGGTCCCAAACTTTCAAAAGGAAGCGACAAACTCAAGCAACAACATTCCGGAGACCCCAAATTGAGTCAAATTGATAGAAAAAAAATAAAAATAAGTTCAAGGTAACAAAACATAAAATTGGATAGAAATTTTTGCAAATGCCAACCATCGAGGGGCAACAGATAAACCCGGTAAACAGTTAAAAGACTATCTAAGACCAACACCAAAACTCCAAGAAACACACACATTATCTTTGACATTGAACCCACACACGACACACCACATATATGCAACAAGTTCAACTAACAATGCTTCAATTTAATTACGTTTTATTGGGAAAGAAGCCGTCAAATAACTAAACAAACTAATAAGACTCAGAGAAATTCAATCAAACCTGAAAAGCGGGAGTGTTTTACCCAGAGCTAAACTGGTAAAAGATCCTAAACAATCTAAAAGCTACCGACCAATTGCATCGCTCTCTCCTGTAGCAAAACTCCTAGAGCTTTTATTACTCTCGGAGTTAAATTTCAAGATAAACGTTCAAGAACACCAACGTGTCTTCAACAAAGAAAGACCGACAAAACTGCCTAGATGATCAACACGAATGATGGATTGAACCAAACCAAACCAAGTCAAAGAACACTAATGATCGTCTAGACTTAACTACAGCCTTTGATACTGTAGATCACTATCAATTACTCAACAATCGCCAGCTCGATCCCCAAAATAGGAATTCTTGCTTACCTCCGCGGAAGGCACACTTATTTGAAACTCAGAGACACCAAAGCAAAACGCAGGAAGATGAAACAAGGTGCCCCACAAGGCGGTGTGATATCCTCCGTCCTATTTAACCTCTACCTGTCCAAAATGCACCATCCCAACAATTGTAACATCAAAGTAACTACCTAGTAAACTATTATAGTTGACTCATTTTGCCAATTGGTTGAACTCAAACTGATGAAAGAGACAGTACGAAACATAATCAGATCATCTTTCGTTCAGTTGCAATAAATCAGTTAAGTTCGCATCTATATTCTCTCTCAGTTTAACCTTCATTTTAAATTGGATGAGCTCTCACGTATTAGATATGCCCTGAGCTCAAAAATCAAAAGATATTACAATTGCAACCATTTTTTATGAGAGTTTGAAGATTGCCAAGTTTAGAACATAGCCAAAAGTTGGAAAAAACCGGAAAAACTTGGAGCTCTTTGAAATTTTTTTTGGACATTTTTATGATGAAATTAATCCAAATTAAAACTGACCAATAAAAAATTTCGATTTCACTGGAAGTTTTTTTGCGCAAATTGAATTTTGCAATTAACGTTTTTTGCGCAAATTGAATTTTGCAATTTGTAGAGAAATTATTGCCCTCATTTTTGCAAACGAATTTGAATTGAACTTTGAAAAGCAATCAGAAGTCAAACCGCGAAAAAAAAGGTAAAAACCAGCACTACGAATACGTGGTTTTTTACTGCGCTCCTTGACACTTGATAATAAAATTGCTCAGAATTTTCGTTTTACTGTTAACATGTAATGAGTGTAGAGAGCGAATTAATCTGGCACAGAAATTATTCTTAATTGAATAGAGGAAAAACGTGCTAGCTGATTCAAATTTTTGCGTTAATAGGCTCAAAATTTATCATTTCGTACTTGACATAGCGCGTACTTTTGACCGGTTCTTTCTTCACAATGAGTTCAATTTCGGTCGCAAAAACTTGGAAATATATATAATTATGATAGAAAAGACAGATTGAAATCATCAGAGAGATGCTATGTTAAAAGGATCAGGTGACTTCGTAAAACAGCATACATTTAAACTATTTTCTTGAATTACGTCCTTCACACTACTCAGATACCCACTTTCATTTAGACTATTTAGCTCAGTTAATGGATTATTCTAACTCTAGCTGTGATATGTGAAGCCAATACCTTCAACAAAAGCCATTAACCCATTGATAAAAAAGATAGCTTGTCTCAAATACTTAAGGAAGAATTTAAAATGAAACGACAAAAAATTAGAATACCAATTTTTCTATAAGAGAATTTTTCATGTTTAATGAATCAAAATTTGTTTACTAATCAAGATGATCGATTTTATGGTAAGTTGCGCTAGAACACCCCCTGGAAACCAGCGTTTTAAATCAAAAAAATTGTATCTTCAGTTCAAAAACCCAAACCACCTCATAGCCCAAAGCAATGATTGTGCGCAGCTGTCCGAGCAGCTCAGAAAGCCATACCCAAGGTCAAAGTTGTTAGAAAAATACAAACGAAACTAATTGCGAAAAAAAAACATTTGTTTTTTAATATTTAATCGAAACTTCAGTCGCGCTAAAGCAGTAATAAAATAATTCTTACCATGAAAAGAACAATGGAAACGACAGTGGTATTAACAGACCACAAATAACAGATACGAAGGTGCAGCTTCGCAAACACTAGCGGTGGTGAAGTGGTTGCGTCTCCGCCTCTCAATCGAAAGGTCAGACGTTCGAGGCCCACCATGAGCCGTGCTCGTTGCTTGCGGGTGAGGCAACATTACCCAGCCCAGAAAAATGACCGAAAAAATAGCATGTAGTTCTTAAGCAGGGGCGTAACAGCGGTTCGCCGTGCTGAGGTGCACAGGTCGTATGTTGGTCATTTCCCTCGTGGATAGATGATGTTAACTTAGCGAAAAAGCGGTAAAAATTCAGGAGCTTTAAAGTGCCCAAAAATTCAAATTTTGCATGTAATAGTTTGAAATGTGATAAACTGAAGGCAGTCACAATAACTTTGCATATAATTAATTGGGATGTATTAAACCACATTGCGCATTTTAAAAATCTCGCGAAATAACTTGGAGATGGAAAATTTCCATTGGAGATTTTTTATTACACTGTTGTATGAAACAAACAGCCTATTTCGGTTCAACTGATGAATCAAAAAAGCATCAACTGTGTTAGCTTATTACTTATCAAATGTCAAAGCACTTGGCATTAATGAAGTTTAATTTATAACTCTTACTGCACCATCGTTCATTACTGTCGAACACGGCGTGGTCGTAATGGAATACAAAACGAGACAAAAAACAGCTGCTCGAAAAGAAAGCACCAAATTAGAGGCTGGACCAATTGAGGCGATTTTATTACCATGATCAGCGACCTGTAAGACATTTTCGAGACTCTTCTCTGTTCCCAATATTAAGACACCAGTCGTCGCAAAAATAATAAATCGTTTGATTCATTAAAACCATTATTAATGCGATGCTAAAATTGTCCTGTAATTACGAAACTATATTTATGTCACCCAGAGAGTCAAAAGTCAGGATCCATAAAAAGAGTAAAACTTTATGCTTCATGCAGCAACAACAAAAACAAAGCTCCATAGAATACTTTCTTATACCAGCAAACAATGAACGAGAGGACGATTACGCAATAAGGGCTACCAAAACGAAACAAAGAACATGAATATTCCTTTTCCGAACAAAGGCGGCGGGGGTGGCAGACGAAAGCCGATGCCATTTTGCTATATTTGTGGTCGCCAATTCTCCACCGCCTCGATATCAATTCATGAGCCCCAGTGTCTTAAGAAATGGAAAGTAGCCAACGACAAATTACCCAGATCTATGAGAATGCCAGAGCCTGTCAAGCCAAAGCCGATATCAGCGGCAGCTGAAAAAGGTCTAAAAGCCAAAGGTAAATATTCATTTGACGCATCAGCGGCTTGGAGTGCAGCTCAGGCCAATCTGGTACCATGTATTGGCTGCGGAAGACGCTTTGCCCAGGATCGAATTCAAATTCATCAAAGGATTTGCACAAGAACAGGCCTTGTGCCAGGCATTGCTCAAACAAAACCAAATATTAACCCGAATTGTGAGTTTGCTCGCAGAATGAGTTACCAGCCAGCTGACCCGAACTCTAAAATGAAGAACTACAGCTCAGTGCCTTCAACTCTGGGATTACGTCGAAAATCCTCTATTCCTCCTGTGGGCACGCTGCGTAATAGCAGGTCAAGTCAAAGACCCTCTCTACGCAGCCAAAATCAACAGAAGAGGTCATTGACATCTCCAAAGGTCATTTCAACGCCTCCAGCAACTCCGACGATAGGCAGAAAGAGGTCAGGGCCTCAGACGACTGGCACACCACGAACGAAAAAACGAGAATCATCAGCGACACGCAGAATGTCGAATTTTTGTCCTAATTGTGGAAAGAAGTTTTCCGGATCTGAGGTCAACTGCGGAGGCTGCTCATCACCCCGAAAAGCTTTCGCATAGTATAGAAACCAACATTTAAATAAAAATGACAATGATACATTTTTTCACTTGTAACGTAAGTGCCAAATTAAGTAGAAAAACTATGTGCCACCAAGATTTTTCTGCACTATTAATTATCTTTCTTTCGATTACCACAAAAACACACACCACAAACAGATAGCACTTTGGCATCTAGAAAAAAATACCGAA